CCACATAACGCCAGTGCTGGCATCTCTCCACTGGCTTCCGGTGCGTTTTAGGGTTCGTTTTAAGATTCTTTTGGAGAAAGAAAAACCACTGGAGCCTAATGGAGCCCCAACTAAGTATTGAGTGCTGTACGTACTGCCTGACAGACAAAGCCTAGGTACTTTCTACGTACGACTTGAGAGGTGAGTTGTTGCAGACGGCCATATTTATGAAATGCTTCACTATCTTCACATGTTGTAGGTGAAGCAGCAGTGAGTGCAGGTTCAGCTTGAAGAAGAAAATGAAGCCACACTCACGCAACCCAATTCACACAAACTGTGGAAACCATTCGTTGCTCAAACCAGTTATGTAAATGGACTGTATTTATATAGCGTATTTTTTCCTCAGTGTGTTGCACTGGCCAAAGCGCTTTACAGGAGATGATACACCATTCACCCATTCACACACCGATGACGACAGGCTGCCACACAATGGCGCTAGTCAAGCCACCGGGAGCGAATCGGGGTTCAGTGTCTTGCTCAGGGACACTTAGGCATGCAGGGAACCCGGGAGTCGAACCACCAACTTGCTGGTCAGGAGATGACTGCCCTACCTTGCGAGCCACAGCCACCCCCATATGTGCAAGTGTTACTTAAACCTCCAAGGCTTGGGCATGTAAACAGTACGTGTGTGCGTCTGTGTGCATTCATTTGTTTGCAGACAGGAATCTCCCCAGGGACAGCATTAGTTCCAGTGGTTGTCCACTGCTATCACACGAGACCTAATTATTGTTTTTGTTTGTTCCCATAAAACGGAACTTTCTTATCAGCACTTAAACTTATCAGTCAGTGTGCAGTTGGGACATCTATGAAACTAAAATGTCAGAGAAAATAAGCTCTACTCTATAACACTACATCTACTTTCTCATCTCTCCTTTAGCTGCATCAAGAGTTTAAATGGAGCTTCATTTGAATGTAGCTGTATGTTAGCAAAACCAGGTTTAATCAGGGTAGACACTGCACCGTACTGTTACTGACGACGCCTTATGGAAACCTGGTAAGATGTTGACTCTGTTGTTACTAACCATGACCACAAGTGGTGAAGTTAGTGCTAGTCTGACCAGGCAGGTACTGTCGACTCCACAT